TGTACAGGATATGTGTGAGGAGTGTAGCAAAGACACGAAAGAGTATGGCAGAGGGAATGGCTGAGCTGGTGCTGAAGTGAAGTCAAGACCCCACTGCAAAGAGCCTTTCACTGCATGGAAGTGCCCTGGATGTCACTCTTGAAATGCGGCTCTTTCTTCCACTATGGAGAAAGTGACATGGATAGAAAAAGGAAAGGAACTGGAGATGGGTCGGGGAAACAAATCTAGGAATAAGAAGACAAACTCCAAAATCGCAATTGTTCTTACAAATTGAACAACTAGGGATATTAATGCATGACTAGACTCAGAAGGCATCGATGGGCTGCATTTAGGATGACTTAGATTTGGATTTTCAGGAATGAGTGGGTGGTGATGGCATTAACTAGGATGAAAAACTAGAAAGCAGAACAAGCAGACTGCTGAGGTGTGGACAGCAAGATGCAGACAAGGAGGTTGAGGAGCATGTAGAAAACCCATATAACAAGCCAAGGGAACTGTTTATGGAGACAGGTACAGAGACGGTCTTTGAGCACAACACTAAGATCTGAACCAGGGCAATACAGGCTAAAAGCCTCATGATGAGAACGTAAAGCCATGTAGAGAATGACATCACTCATGCCAACCACGCAGTGTGAAGAGAATGAAGGCAAAACTCTGGGGATGCTGAGTCATTACAGGGTGCACGACATAGGAAATGAATAGAAGACAGCCAAGAAAAAGGCACTTGTTAGCTAGAAGGACAGTGAAATCATGGCTGAAAACCAGCCAGGCAGCTTGGCAACCAGTTTGCTGTCTCTTCAGCAAGAGTGTTGTCAACGTACTGATGACGAGACCCAGACTGGATTTTATGGAAGATCAGTGGGTGTGAAGTGGTAGTTTAAGAACTAAAAGAAAGGTTTTCTTTTATCTTCCTTTTTTCTGAGATGAGTACTTTTTTTAAATAAAAAAAGAATCAATTAAGAAGGGAAAAAATTAGAATGGAAAAGAAAAGCTGAAAAATTGAAACAAGATCCTGAAATGAAAAATGGATGGGTTTATCCAGGCAACTCGAAACATTAACAGTGGGCAAAGAGAGAGCGTGCCCACTTTTTTGAGGTTTCCCTCAAAGGAAAGAGTTGAGTGTTTAAGAGTACACATCTCATACACATGGAATCGTTCCTGTCTGTGCTTTACAAGTCCCTTGATTCTCAGGAAGAAGACAGAAAGTAGATTTAGACTTTTTCTCCACTCTTAAATTAACAATGGACACGGAAATGCTGTTTCCTGCTGTGCTTGTTTGTTTTCTGTGACTGTGATAAAATACTGACCAAAAGCATTTTTCAGGGAGAGTGGTGTTTACTAGGCCTACAGGCTACTGCCCATAATGGGGGGGAAGCCAAAACAGGGACTCAACGCAGGAACCGGGAGGCAGAAACTGTAGCAAGTACCACAAAGGAAGGCTACTTAAGTGACTCCCTCTTGGCTCCTGTTCAACTACCTTTCTTATACAACCCAGGCCCAAACTCCTAGAGGTGGAACTGCCCATAGTGGGCTGGACCCTCTTACATCAATCAGCAACCAAAAAGTGCCTCACAGACCTGCCCACAGGCCACCTGATGGAAGCAGTTCTTCAGCTGGGATTCCTTCTTCTGATGAACAAGCCTGCCTCCATCTTAGGCTTGAAAGCCATCTTATAGTAAAGACAAACTAGGTTCATTCCTGTTTATGACTAAACCTGTTTCTCAAGGATTGGGCTATGCCCCATCTGTAACCTAACTAAAAATGGTTCTGCACTGCCTGTTCCAGGAAATGGCAACCATGTCTATATTTCAAAAAGTTGTAATGACCATCTTGTAACCCTACCTATTTTAAAAGGTTGTTATGACTACCTTATTATGACTACCTTGTTATGTTCACTTCTGTTACTACACTTATTTTGCCCACCAAATCCCCCATTGGGAAACCCCCTATCCCTGAGCTATAAGAACTTTGTCTTCCTCACATCCAATGCTGATCTCTTGAAGCCCACTTTTAGGAAGAGACAGCCCATATACACAAATAAAAAGGCTTGCTTTAATTAATTGATTGCTTTAATTAATTTGGCCACGATGACTTGGGTCAGTGGTCTTTCTTCTTGCATCTTTGGCATTAACACTTCCCAGATGTGTCAAGTTGACAAAAAACAAACAAACAAACAAAAACCAACCAAACACCTATATATCTGTTCCTTTCTTGTCTTACGAATGCAATCAAAAATTTTATAAGAACCACCTTTAGTTTAAATGAACCAAAAGCAATAGAAGAACTTTTCTAGGTATCGCTAATAGGATTCACCGTCAAATAAGAATCGGGGTCCACTGATGGCATGGCTGTCAAGCAACCACATCACTCTCCAGCAAAATCTACCACAGTAGACTGGCAGGAGGTAACTAAGTTCCAATGCAACTCCATATTCTGCTTTCCTCTCTCTCCCTCCTATAAGTTTGGTGGTCTTTGTAATAGAACACAAGGTACCATAATATACAATATGTATTTATCTCCTAAAAGTTGAATGCATTAAGTCATTTGGACCATGAAAAAAAAAAAGTCCCTATGCCCATTCCAGAAAAGAAACTCTGGAAACTCTTAGGAATCATTAGAATGATGCCATGAAGAAACCATCCCATTCATTACAGGTTGCATCATGCTTTATTGCCAGAGAAAATCAGACACAATTTGTTAGAGAATATTAGAGTCATGACCATAAGAGTGTACTTAAGGAGCCAGGCTGGTAAGGCACCCTGTAACCTAAGCACTCAAAAGGCAGAGATGGTGGGGAGGGTGTGGGTGGGGGGTAGGAGGGGGAGCAGTATTAAAAATTCAAGATCTCTGACCTAACTTAGTGTGACCCTGTTTCAAAAAGTCTTCACAGGTGTTCATTCTTCTCTTTTCTATAACTTCTGATGTAACTCAGTAGTTTTTTAACCTACACACACTTTCTGCTTGCCCTTCCTTCATCACAAGCAGAATTATTAATGAAATTTAATACTTGTCCTCCCAAGGATCCACTGGATAATTAATTAATTAATTAATTAATTAACTAATTAAAAAGCATAGAGTTGAGGCCTTTATTGCCTATTCGTGCACCAAAATTACCTGAAACCAAGTTATTTTATGTTCCCTTACTCCCCTCTGCTGGCAAAGTGTAGTATAGTTCTTAGTTATTTTAAAATAAAATTGATATGTGCGTTAATTTTCCTGCGCTTTACAAGTCCCTTGATTCTCAGGAAATGAGAAAAAATGTAAAAAAAAAAAAAAAACCTATTCAGTTTAATATTTTTTAAATTGTTTATTAGAAGAGGTCATTGGTCTGTATTCCAGTATCTTTTTGGTCCATTCCTCCCCAATTATATTAGATACATGTTCGAAAAAATTGATCTTGGTATAATAAGAAGTGTATTTAGACACAAAATAATAACTATCATGAAATTAATTAATTTATAAGTTAAATTTTTTTAAATACGCCATTTCCTTGGCTATTCACAGTGCAAAGCATTCTCACACTTGTTCTTCATACAACAGTGACCTCTGATAGGTATCCACACTGTGAAATCTAGAACATACTCTTCCTAAGAAGCAGAAAGGATCATGTGGTCAGCCTCTAGTACAATTCTGAAATGGATTTCCATGTTTGTTGGTGGTGTCATTTCTTTCTGCAAGGCCTTCTGTCTTTTTCCCACAACTGACCCATGGTCTAATGACATCAAATTCTTCCTTCAGAAAAGAAAATGGGCTGGAATCTTTAACCACAGTTAAAGATCTC